TTCATCTCTTAAATTGTTTAATAATTCAGTTTCCTTAATCGTCATAATAAAATCGTTAATATTTCGCGACTTAATTTTTAGTAGCAAAGTGTCTATATGACTTTTTACTTCAACGATAGACTAATTGGCTGTTTCTACACTTTTAATTGTATTAAAAAAGAGTTCACATTGAGTTTGAAGAAATATTGTAAGTAGAAGTGACAGGGCCGGATTAAGATATTTTGCGCCCCGGGGCAAACCTACCTAAAATTAAGAACTAATTTTTAATAATATATAAACATAACATTCTTTTACTATAATTTGGCATTTATTAAATAATATTAGAAATATATTAAAATTATATGATAACAATCTTTTTAATATTACTATATACCTAAACAATAAACAATGTAAATACATTTATTAAAATAACAATTTTGTAATCATGATTTAATTTAATTTTAATTAATTTATAAAAATGATATATAAAATACTGGGATTAATTATGTAAGTAAATAAAAATAAAAATATATTTTATTTTTGTTATTTATAATATTTTTATAAAAACACTTTTCTTGATTTCTGTTTAGCGAATTGGTCAATACATTCATCCCATGACATAGATTCAAGTAAAACATTTTCAATATTAAAAATAGCAAATGAATTTAATTTTTCTTTTGAAAGAGTAGATCGCAAATAGCTCTTGACCCTTTTTAAGGCCGAAAACGATCTTTCGCCGGAACAGTTAGATATAGGTAGAGTATAATACAATCTTAATGCAATTTCAGTATTAGGAAATAAACTATCCAACTTTTTGTTTCTCAGAATTGTTAATAAATTTTGTGTATTTGGTTTATCTTTGTTTGATTTGTCTGATTTGGGAAAAATAGAATTCACTATTAAACTCAATTGCAATGCTTCTTGAACAAAATCTTCTTCTATATCATCGCAATAAATATTTTCAAAGTGATGTGCCTTCTTTTCAATATCATCCGATTTTAAATACCCAAGATTAAATAAAAAATCAAATTGATTATAAATTTTATCATAAGCAATTTTTCTTTTAGTCAAATCAGAAATCATTGTATCGATAATAACAAAAAATGTTTGCATTTTCATTTTATGTGATCCTTGAAGAATTTCTTCGGTATTTTCTTCATCAAAAAAAATTTTTTTTTTCGTCTTGATAATTCAATGGAGTATTGCGTTTCATCAGTTATTTGTTTAGCGCTTTGCTCTATTTGATCAAATTTATGACGAAATATAGCACTAGCGAATCATATAAAGTGATAACAGTTGACAAATCAATGTTTACTATTTGTAAAGTTTTACTTGTTATATTAAAAAGTTTTAGTATTGGGGACCACATCATTATCATAAAAGCAGTATCAAGAGAACATAATTTTTTTAGTATTGAATTTGCTTCTAGCTGTACGATTGGCTTTTATAAACGATCTTCAATTAATTCTTCTAACGCTTTTTTTATTTGTGGAAGTCCATTATATAAAGCAGTACATGCATCGTCACGACATGACCAACGTGTAGTACATAGTTTTTTTACGGTAGTATTTTTTGTTGAAATAAACTTATTATTGGAGTTTGAATGATTATTGGAACTTAAATGTTTATTTAATATTTCCCATCTATGTGTAGAAGACGAAAAAAACCCGTACAAGTTTTCAAGTAGAAAAAAAATGACTGTCCACTTTCACTACATTGAGCAGCATTAGCTCCTACTAAATTTAATGAGTGAGCTGAGCATGGTATGTATTCAGCATACTTAGCAACTTGACGAATCCTAGCTTGCATTTCTGAATATACACCGGACATATTTTTGGCGTTATCATAAGATTGCCTTCTACAATCCTCAATGTTTATCTCTAATTGTTTATATTCATTGATTACGGCTTGCTGTAAATCTGCACCTTTATGGCCGACAGACGGCAAAAATTTAAGAAAACGTTCAATAGGCGTACCATTTGGAAGAATATACCGAACAATCAGTGTTAATTGATCTATTTTGGATACATCCGGAGTAGAATCAACAATTATCGAATAATACTTGGATAATTTTAATTCATCAACAATTTTTTTAATTACTTCGTTACCTATAATCAAAATAAATTCATCACAGATAGTCAACGATAAATACGAAACATGCCCACGTCCTTTATTTCTATGGATTTCGATATGTTTAGCTAAAAACGGATCAAATTTAGCGAGAAGTTCTAATGAGCCTAAAAAATTACCATTGTGATTAGAGCCAAAAAGTTCATTTTCCCCTCTAAATGCAAGTCCTCTTGATGACAAAAACTTAATAACAGCTACAACTCTATTGAGAACAGATCGCCAATATTGTAATTCTGATTCAACTTGTATCTTAAGTGTATGATCGAGTGTGCCTTTACCAAGTTTATCAGATCTCACAACCCAATCGCGAACGGCATTTAAATGGGAAATACTCTTTTCGTGTTCAGATACTTTTGAATGAACTTTTTTCCAATTGTTAAAACCTTTTTCGCTAAATTGCGAACGTATACTAGAAAAAATTCTACATGGGCCACAAAATTAACTAGATATTGATTTTGAATAGAGTAACCAATCACGAAATTTTACTTCATTATTTAAAAGTTTTCTTTCAAAAACATCAGGTGTAAGACGTCTCATTATTTGACCACATAAACGAGCAGTTTTTGAAAAATCAATATCGTTAATATTTGTTGAAAAATTTTGTGATAATATTATGTCAATTGATCGATCATTCAATTTCCATAAATATGGGTCCAATGATATAGAATTAAGATATGAGTTATCTACAACATCTTTTAATAATTCAGTACACTTAGTGTTTGTAACTTTACTCACCGTATTATTTTGTTCTTCTATTTTTGTTTCATTGAAATCAACATTTTGTTCACGTTCTTGAAGAGAAATAGTATCAATAGAAATGTTAGAAATTGTAGTAGGAGTAGAAGTGATTTTGACATCGATCAAAGGTAATGAAGGTTGAAGAGGTTTAATTAAAAAAAAATTATCCAATTTTTGTGTTTTTTTTTAAATTTCACTCTCGCGCTCTTCTTTTTCAAGTCTTATTTTCTTGAACGCACTACCACTTAGTTTTTTCGCCATGGTATTAATATTTTTTCAAATATTATATTTTATATTATTATATTATATATATTTTATATTTTATATACTAATCTATAGAAAATTGACATCGATCGACTTAATATTATTGTCTGCGCTCGACGAAACGAATGAAATGACTGCGGTCGAGATACGATAGTACGATACGAACGAATTTAATTGTTCACTCGTACTGTGTTTATCGATAATCCGATAATTTATAATATATTTTTATACGTTTGAATAATCGGTCGCAGTTGTCGGTGGAAATGTTATCTATATTATATAGTCGTTTAATAATAATTATTATTATTGCGTGGACTCTGTGACTGTATTCAGGGTTGCCAGATATACCAATAATAATCTAGCCAAATAATTTTTT